AGGTGTTGACTTTGAGTGAGCGATGTTGACTTTATCCATTGTACTACTGGCCATTGAAAAATTGAAGATCACAGCTACAAAATTAGAAAGTACTTGGTAACAAGATGTCAGCTCAATTTCAGTGAGTATACATCTGAAGTTGTCTCCAAAACAAAAGATAATGAGTGAACAAAGTAATTGGAGATGTGTACACAACTAGCCCAGGTTCTATCAATCTCTTCTTAAATCAATGAAGTCATCTTGGGATTTAACCCCAAGTTGTTGACTTTACGCAAGGTTAAAACTCAAGGAATTTTTTATAATTTTGCCTAGGTGGCAGCCGAAGCCTACTCTTATCGAGGGATCTTTAACATGCGCACCTTGCACATGGTACTTCCGACATTTTCCGCCTTTTTTTTAGAAGGCTAGGTGTAGATCTTTCCTACCAGAAGATCAGGGGTGTGGCTGAAAGACAGCGGTAAGAAGGAGCCAAGGACAAGCAGTAGCTAGAAAGGCTGAAGAAAAAGTCAGGAGCCCAGAGGAGGGGGCAAACGAGGTGAGGGGGTGGGGGCAGGGAGTGGAGACGAAAGCAGACCACAGAACATTGCTAAATAGCAGGAAAGGATGTATAAGAAGGCAATTTTCGATAAGAAGATTTCTTCGTCGCTACCCTCATTCGAACCCGGGACTTTTGAATGAGAGGTGAACACCTCAACCTGTAGGCCACGAGAGCCCCCAAAACTCAAGCGGTTGACTGTATCAGAAACACGATTCTGTCTGCCTGGTCAATATCAGTCTTAAGACGCACTGTTCTATTATCAGCTACGAGGCTGGAAAGGCAAAAAAGTTACTTTCCATGAATTTTTTAAAATTATATATATTGAAAGTTTGATGTCTTCTGCTTCGTATAAGATACAAAATAAACAACTTTGATCAAATATAAATATTTTATTTTGATATATTTTGGAGGCATGTGTGGTTTGTTGTGAGCTTGGGGGACGAGATAAAGGAATCTGGACCTTACTAGTGTGAAGCTGTGAGATTATTTTTTTTTAACCATTACCTCATGGCCACCTTTGCTTCTACCAAAGATACTACACACAACCAAAGATACTCCTCATTGGAGTATCTTTGCTTCAATGTTCTTCATTCGCAACTTTTTTTTTTTTTTTAGATTTTGACCTCTTTTTGAGCATGTATGGTCTGAAATGTAGACAACTCTGATTGGTAAAGAGGAGTAAAAACTGTAGCTTCTAGCTCACTTCAAGCTTGTTTACGTAAACAGCTGACTGTGTGGGCGTGCTCTGCGAGCTGTTATCGTCAGTTGATCTTTCAGTTTTTTACTTTGGTTAACTTTAAACATTCGTTTTTATTGTTTTAGTGCTTTTGAAAGATTAACCTTCATCTAGATCTCTCAAAGCGGACTCCTTACCAAGAGGCCAGCGTGGCGGTCTATGTGCTTGTGTGTGTGTATGTGTGTTGGTGTGTTTGTATGTGTGTGTCAGGCGCGGTTCGTCCATAGAGCACAGTCGTGCAGTGCCGCCCAAAATGTTTTATTGTTCTATTACGAAAAGCACACACAAACATGAAATAAAAGAAGTCAGAAACAAACACTAGCCAAATATAATACATGTATCAACACAAGGTCCCCGCAGGCGCTGTAACTGTAAGTTCTGTGTCAAAAGCGCCGTAAAACATCTACTATGCCATGCCAAAGTCCACGCATTTTAATTAAACGAAATAGAATATTCAACTGCGGCTATCTGACCTATAAATCGCTCTTTGGGATAACCCAAGCGATGACGACACTCGTAGCGAGTTTGGGTAGCGGTACATTAATATTAAAAAGACGGCACATCTCAAATGTACACCCACGAAACATAGCCCACAGTAGGCAGTCTAAAACGCGATAGCCTGTACACTAGTCTATTCAATGCCAAAATTATGTGATCCCCGGAGCAATCCAGTGGAGTGCTCACGTGAATTGTGATTGGTTCATTGTCTTGTCACTCTGTGACCGTGAACCCGAGGGAGGTGAACGTGACATACGTTAAGTCACCGCCCTCTGAGTTGTGTCTTTGAATGGTTTTGTAGTGGAGTGGTGAAAGTTATTACTCGAGTGTTCAGTTCCAATGCAGGATAAAGAATGAAAATAAAATCATAAGGTCCTCCTTCACCAACCCAAAGATCCTACCATCCCATTTACTATGCCTTTGATTATCTTCAACCTGCTGTTGCCTAATTGTGCACGCCCACTTTTTTGCCCCACGAGCCGCCCCTGGTGTGTGTATGTGCGTGTGTGTGTGTGTGTGTTTGTGTGTATATGTGTGAGTGTGTGTGCGTATTTGTGTGTGTATATGTGTGTGTGTGTGTGTGTGTGTGTGTATGTGTGTGTGCTCTCGTCTGTTTATGGTGCTATTGCAAACGTATAATTAGGTAGCGCAAACACGGCACGTAAGCCGACTCGCGGCCTTCCGAGCGCGTGGTTTCGGTAAAGTGGGGGTAATTCAGATCTCTGCTTCTTTGCTCTTATGCTATAAACACCGAATGCTGAACACTTTGAAAAAGTTCAGATTTCCTTCTTTACAATAGTGTAAGTTGTTTGTATATTATAATCCGAGTATGAGCTGGAGATTCGCCGTGGAAAGGGAAGCCCCTCACGGTCGGAATGCGAGGTGGGTCGGTTCAAAATTGACACCCATGCATTCGAATGCTTTGCACAAAGATTGATGATTAAATACCGTCTTTTCATTTGCGGAAAACTATACATCTTTAAGCGTGGTTTCCCGTAGTTATTATTTTTGGCCTTTGGCGTTTGGATAGAAACCTTGATAAAAAAGTGTCTAAGTTTTCAAAGATCATTTTTAACACGAAAAGTGTAAAATACCGGCTAAAAAAAGATACCAGTAGAAAGAACAGTTCTTTTTCTATTAGAATAAAGTCATCGACTAGGAATTATTTTGCATGGATCCTTCCGTGAAACTACTGGGAGCACTCAGTACACTACAGTATTGAGTTGACTCGCTCGACGCGAGGGCTAGTGCGGCACCGGCCGAGACAACGCTCGGTGATTTTATTGAAATAACGACAGATCATCTTGTTTGAGGCACTAAAATACAGATTTGTAATGATCTCACAGTCTGAAAAAACTAAAGCTTCATTTCTTTGTTATAATGATTATACTCTGTTAATGTAGAGATGTTTGGTGCACTTGGTACTCTTTTATTATCCGGCAAACTTGGGGTTGCAGCCAGTTACCGACTTCAGCAATATCAAATTTGATTATGTCAAATTGAAAGAGCTGCCATTCTCTTAAACATTGACTGAGAGGTAAAAGTATGGAACAAAAATTCTTAGGAGACACAGGCCTTGCATGTGAAACAGATGAATTTGACATACAGCTACTTAAAAAATGTAGCATCTGATACATAGTATAATGCTAATAGTTTGTTGCATTTGATGTGAAGTCCATTCTCGTGAATAGGTTGTTATGTCCATAATTTTTCTCTCCGTTAATAAATAGTTTTCTACTTCTGTATGTTACCTTGCAATCGCATTGCCAAGATAACTGCTAAATTTCAAGTCTCTATCTCAATTCTAAGACCCCCATTGCTAAGGAAACATGTTGCTCGACTTTGAAGGCCATTTTATTTCTCCTTTTAAAAGTTCTGTATTTTTTTCTCCAAATATTGTTATATTTACTTCTTTCTTGTTTTAGATTGTAGGGAAAATGTGATAGTTTTTTTTTAAAAATAATGTTAACTCAGTTTTGAAATTTCCTATGACTGATATTGACCGGCAAAGAAGGTAAGAAACGTGACCACAGTGATCGAGGTGTTGACTGTGAGCAAGAGTTGACTTTAAAGCAAGTTGACTTTATCATGATTCAACAGTATCTGTTATTAGGCCTATTGATCATTAAGCTTAAAACAAAAGGTGAAATTAGTTATCATAATTAACAAAGGCAATGTTCAGTTTAGTTTTAGTTTTAGAAGAGGTTTTGCGGCCCTCTCAACTGTATAAGGTCACATATGAGCTCCGAGGGGTGGATGTCAACTGAGAAGTCCTTTCAGGGAATCAGACTTACTCTGCTCACCTCTCTGCTTCAATATTATAGCACAAAGTTTCCTTCGACTATCAAGGCACCCCGGAAATAGCGGGTCACAAGAGTGTGACAAACATAAAAGAAGTAGAGGAAAATGACGATAGTAATGATTAGGAAAGAAAAAGCAGCAGTTCCCTGTTGCAGTTCTGGCACAGTATGAGCATGACATAGATGAATCAGCCCATTTACAATCATAATTCTACTGTGCATAAGAACAGGTTACTAACGGTTACTTTGGGAAGGGATAGACACTTCAGTCAGTAGCAGTGTTCATCATTGCGTCAAAAATATATTATTTAAAAACACGGGCATCAGTGTTTAAAATTATTACAGTTATTCTTATGGAGTATTGTTAGTTATGTGCGAAAGTATTCAGGTTCCCTCTATCATGAAAGGCGATATTGGCTGTGAGGGCATAGTGTCAGTAAGAAAATCGAGTACGCAGTACTAAAATTAATGTTGATATAGTTATGAAACAGTAATCGCTTTGGTGGGCTTTCAAAAATGGCTTTAAAGACCGTTGTTTTCAATTAATGTTACCCTTAGTCTCCAGTAAAACAAAAAAAAATTGTCAGAAGTGGGATTCGAACCCACGCCCACATTCGTGGACCAGAACGCTCTATCCCATGCTCCATGAGAAGGACTTTACTCCTTGAGTCTGGCGCCTTAGACCACTCGGCCATCCTGACAGCTGAGCAAAAGTGCAAAACAAAATATATAATATCATGCAAGGAAATTAGTTACTGTTTCTGCCTTTCTTTTTGATTTCTCAAAATTGTGAACGGTTTGTGAATAGTCTCTAAGTTTGAGTATCAACTAATTTGACTAGGCATTCATAAAAATACAAAAATGTATTTTAGAATCACTAGTTCTTTCAACATATCGAAATGGAGGGGAGATCACTCTCAAATCAGAAAAACTTTGTTTTCATTTCCACTTGCAATGCTTACACCATAGGCTCACAACTACAACACTAACAGCTGACAGTTCTTCTTCTTCTGCCTTAATTTTCTCACATTTTAACGAATCTAGGACCTCAGATACTTTCATTTTAAAAAACATCACCATGAAGAGTCGTTTCAGTACAATCGACATTGCTGTCATTGTTCAAGAGCTGAAAAGGTATGGCGCTATTCTTGGCCTGCTACAACAACGTCAACATGACTCGGAGCATTAGGTTCTATGATTATGATGAACTATGATTTTATATGACTTGCTTGACTTCATCACCTGTGACCGTTCTGATGATTATGACTTTGACCGATGACGAATGGATAAGAGTTTGTTAGACTATATTTCGAAGGGCCACCCCTATTCTCACCCCGAGCCCGAGGTGAGAATAGCGCAGGCGAGTCTTTTGGCTGAATAGATTCTCACCCGGTGGGCGTTCACACATGCGATTACAAGTAGAAATGATGCAAACTATTTTTAGGTAAGGCGCCCATCTTGTTTGACGTCAGACCAGGATACCCCTCCGATCACGTGACTACATCTAAGTATAGACAATCGCATGGCACCAAAGATCATGGAAGTGTCTATGTAGATCTATATTATGCTTAATCTACACAATATTCTCGGAATTTCTGATAGCTGATTTGATAGCGCGTCTGCGTTTGATGTCGAGCAATGACTTTTGGAGCGGTTCGATTCCGGTCCCGGACAGTTGTTTTTTTCTCTTTTCCTCCTCCCGACTGACCAACAGTTCCATAAATTATAGGCCGAATTTGTAGAGTTGCTTTGACTTTGAAGTTGTAGTTTATTTTTTAAAATGTATTAGTGATTAAAAATGCAGGAGGGGGGGGGGGGGTAGATCTAAATTTAGATATCTAGATCTAGATCTAGATATTATCTAGTCCTCAATTTTCGTGCGGTCTTCCATCATGTCCAGGTAGGCCTAATAGATCTAGATCTAGAATCTAGATATAGACTATAGATCTAATCTAGAATCTAGATCTAGATCTAGATCTAGATTCTAGTTCTAGATCTAGAAAATCCAAAATGTTACCGAAAACACGTTCCATGTTTGGGTATCTCAGGAAGTGATGACATCACATTACTAAAATAAGCAGCCAATCAGAAAGATGTGTCATTTCTAAGTTTAACGGCATGTGGCGTTCACCGTTATAGCCTAGGCCAACCAGTGAAGCGTTCACCCTGAACCACAGAATTCTACACTGTGATAACAGAATTATAGAATTCTGTGGTGTGAACAAATGTTCTAGATCTATTATTACTGTTAGTGTTAGCCTAAAAGCGTTCAATTTTGTCTGTGGGCAGTGGAGAGAGAGAAAGACTTGAAAGAGAGAGAGAGAGGAGTAGCGTGAGAACTTCCGGGCAAAGCAAAATGGCGACCCGCGTAGTTCGGCTTGATTCGGAAAGTTAAATAGCCGTAGCATCTTTGTAGACAACCAAATTAATTTAGCTTTCTTGTTTAACATCATTTTTTAACTTTGTTTTGGTCAATTTGATCGTCCACACTGATAGACAGTTATTCAGAAAGAGACAGAGAGAGAGAGGGGAAGAGTAGATCTTGCGAGAACTTCCGGGCAAAACAAAATGGCGACCTGCGTAGTTCGGCTCGATTCGAAAAGTGAAATAGCCATAGCATCTTTGAAGAGACCAAATTAGCTACTAAACTTTTCGTCTTCCATCTCACAAAAGGGCGTGTAAGGGCATTTTTGGCATTTTTCAGGAGAGCGTTTCAAAGTTTTGGACACTTTTTAAATTCTTGCTGTGGCATAACCATTTGCTTTTTCGCTTCAATTTTTGGCAAGATGTTAGTACAACCACCGAATATTCCAGGATAAAGATTATAGATATTGCTTCTTTTACGTTTTTAAGAAATGGTCAAAAATAGCTGATACGCCTGTTTGTGAGAATATAATAATGACTTTAAAGACACAAGATTGACAATACGCCTCATCATTTGGTGATAGAATATAAGAGAAAAGGGATTTTTTTCTTGATTATTGAACAGGTTTATCAACTCAATATATATGCCAAACTGATCTATTTTGGTGAGTGAAAAACAGCAGGAAAAAGAAAATGAAACAGCTTTGGAGTCTCCACGATATGAAATGTAAATAACTTAAAGAGTTAAGCTTTCTTACTTGTCTTCAAGGTATTATGGAGAATTTGCACAATGCAATGAGTATAAAATTACTAGTACCGCACAGATCCTTTCATTCAGGACAGCACACCATCCTTAGACATCAACAATATTAGTAGAAAGATTCTGAGCATGTGTTATGAATTTGTGTAATACCTTTTAAACGTTTTAGCCCATAATACTCTATTTGCGCTGCCAAGAGCGAAATGCTCGCAGCCAAAGGGATTTGAAAACATTTATCAATGAAATATTGTGCTAGTGTTTCCTCTTAAGAAAGATTAAAATGATCTGGAAAGGCACTTCAATGCGAAAATACAGTGCAGGTGGTAGCCTGTTATAAGTTACTTGTGGCAAAATTAAAAGAACATTGTGTGTTCCCCCAGTCTGATGAAAAGTGTACTTGGCTATAGAGGGAATTTTTTAGGCTGTTCATGGATCAGTGCAGACAATGGAACGTCTTTGACGTGATTTTTTTCTGGCGCTCAAAGGTCACTGTTTGGTACGATGGGTTTGTAGGAAATAAATGGTTATTGAATAGTCTCTGTGGGGTCTGTTCCATAATATCACTTCAGTTTATTATTATATTGCAGCTGAAAGCATCTTCTTTAAGTTTTCTGACTTTGGCTTTTCGGTGGTTATGATTGTTCAGCCTTTGTTTTGTCTCCTCTTCAGTTCAGGTTTGAGAACAAGTCCTGTTAACTCGAGTAACCTACTGTAGTGATGTGAGTCAACAGCGGGAAACCTCGCAATTTGAGCATTAATAAGGGTGGGAAGTTTTTCATCTCTTTCTTTGACAGTTGCTGGGCATCATCATCCTTTTTTTTCTACTTCAATAGTTTCAGCTGATGTTGTCTTATAGATGGCGGAATTCCATCGACAGTCAAGGAATATGTATTGGTTTTCTGTCCACAAAAACAGATTGTCCCTTTCATAGTTTCAGTCAGCAGTCAATGTGACCTACAATGACTCACATTGTAGATAATGGTATCCAAGTCTGTAATATTGCTGGAACATTTCCTTGTGTGTTTCATTCAAAATAGTGTGACAGCTTCGACCATATTTCTTATAGCTTTCAAATTCATACCTGTCTCAAGTCCTGTGCACGCCAAAATGTATTTCAGTTAAAGGGCTAAGGAACTCCTCTCGAAAATGTCCTTTGTGGTTAGATTCTTTATACCTATTGGACTGTGAACCTTTCGGAGCAGTCACTTCATTGGCAGCACCTTCTACCATGAAATTTTCAGGTCGAGTACAATATCCAACGACAACAGAGTTATTCTCTTCTGGCTTTATCCGTTTTCTACTCACGATGCTATGTGGGTTTTTTAAAGACTACCATGAGCCTGTTTCTTCCACAAAGTGACTGTATGTATAACACAGGAGCAATACACACCTTCCACAAGCTGCAAACATGTCCTTCTTACATGACACAGAAACCAGGTTTGAAAGACGGGTCTGCATCTAAATCATCAATATGATAAGAACTTTTTGCAATACCACATCTTTGGGGACTCATGTACCTAATTAAAACTTTTACTGGTAGAACATATTTTCAAAAGTGAAGGTTTATAAGCTTACAAATGAGCTAAGATACCATCCTTTTATGGAGGCATGAACATCAAGTCAAACGCTGAAAGCAAGGATGAAATTTGAAGCACAGGTATCAAAAGAACACGTGTCTACTTGAACTAATGGTAAGGAAGCGTATAAAAGTTCCTCAATGATGCAGCGAGAAAGAATCAGCAAGACTACTGAACATGAAATGAGATACATCCCTCTCATTTACAAGTGAGAAAACAAAAAGAAACTTCTCATACCACGACGTATGCGGTCATATGCCTCAGCATATATTCTCACAAAGGGGCGTAACAAGGCATACGCCTCTATGTGAGATGCTATTTCCTGCCCGAGAGCTATAGGGCTAAATATTTTTTGCTCATAACGTCGCCATTTTTTAAGCTATCGACATGCCGTTTTGAGAGAACATAGATCTCACTACCCGACATACCATGGTGGTGTTAACTCAAAACCGGTAATTTTGACGATACGCCCTTTTGTGAGATGGGCGACAGTTTGTGCTATAACGTAATTTTTTCTTGGCTTTTATCAATTTGATCATCCACACCGATAGACAGTATTCCAAAATGAGGATAAACAGGTCTTGTTTCGCACCGGGTGAGAATAGCTACGCTGGCAAGTCTCACCCGGGGTGAGAGGTAGATCGTTTTTCTATTCTCACCCCGGGTGAGAATAGCCACTTCCATTAATTACGAAGCTAGATCTAGAAAGACAAAAGTAGTTGGAGACTGAAGACTGAAGACGAAGACTGGAGAGATCGGCGACAGTGGGTGGACCAAAATTTGGGTGTAAAGGCCGTCTTTATTCGGACTCACTATATAAAAATTATAATGATAAAAATCGAGATGTGAGCTTTAATATCGAGTTACTAAAGGGCTGATGCTCTGGCAAAGAAAGGAGCTAGTCTCCCTCAGCCTGAAATTCCTACGAATTACACCACCTGCTGCCAAATGATCAAGTCAAACCTCAAGGAAGAGTGGATGAATGATTGGGCCACAGGTACGACAGGAAGGAGGATGTATGGCCACATGAATAAACCACTGGTCAAAGATCCAATCAATGAGTTGAGGAGGGGAGATCAATCCATAATCTTCCAACTTAGAACACAACATGTTCCCCTCAACCAACATCTCAACCGAATTGGAGTAAAGCAGTCTGCTGCCTGCCCACTATGTGACTACCCCTCAGAGACAGTGGAACATCATCTGTTTTTCCATAGAAAACTAACTGATTTAAGGGGATGTTTTCTTCCCAAGCTACCCCACACATCAAGACAACAGTTAGAACAAACATGCAACTATTACCGAATGGCATCATGCAGAAGAGTTAACGCTCAGATGCTACTGGATCGCTAACAACAACAACAACATATCGAGTTACTAGAGATTATCTAAACTAACCGTGCATCATTAGTATGAACAAAACAACCAAGTTGAGTTGACCTTGCTGGGGGGCAAAGTTATTTATATCGACCAATGAGATTGCGCATAGCGATATATATCGCCTTCTCGGCTTGCTTTGGGAAGAGGCCACGGCTGTCGGTTGTGTGCGATGTGATTTTAAAAAAAATAATTACAGAAAAAATATAACCCACAACAAAATGAAATAAAACATGTGGAAAGACAAATGGTGGTGGAAGTAATGATGATGTTGTAGTGGTGATGGAAAGACCCTAAATTGTCGGTTACCATGTACACCTAGACACTGCCTTTGGGCAATTTCAACAAAATGAAAGTTAACATACATGTGGAAAGACAAATGGTAGGAACAGTATTGATGCTGTACCAGTGGTGGTGGAAGTAATCATGATGTTTCTGACTGGTACATGTAGTGACTTGGTGCCCAGGGCCAGTTACCGTGTATCAAGTAGACCTTGAGTTGGCGGTTACCATATATACGTAGACACTGCCATTGGGCGATGAGAGTGCAGTCTTTTGACTTTTGACAGTTACACAGTCCTAGTAGGTAATTCTAGTTCTAATTCTGGTTTTACGTTAAATCCCCCGATGACAGTTACATTATATGACACTCCCATAACTCACTTAGAAACCAAGTCCGAATAAAACATTTTTTTCAGACCCGAGTCCGAATAGATAAAACCCATTTTCAGACTCAAGTCCGGAATAGACAAAATGTATCTTTATATACTCAACAAGGTAAGCCACGGCATTTTGAGAACCATTCAAACGACAAGAGTCACTTCGTCTTCTATCTCCTTGTTCTCAGTTAAATTCTTCCGAATGGTGGGGACGTTTCACCTCCAAATTTCTCTATTTAATTTTCACCTGATGAAAAAGTTGCCTTAACGGTGGTTCGACATGATTTACAAATATTAAATCTCAGCGGTACAATCACAAACATGCACACACAGCACTTCAAACATATTCCGTCCATGAGCTAAATGAGACCCTGTTGTCGGGGAAAGTAGAAAGGTCCAATGAGCAGCTGAACTCAGTCGGTAATGTCAATAAAGACAGCTCTAGTTCTAGAGATTGACCTGAAAGAATGATAGTGATACTGATAGGACTGATAACCCCATGAATGTTTATTTTGCTGTTTTTACTTTGTGATTGTGAAAAGCTGATTTAAAAAATAAGATTTGGAAATACTGATTCCACTGCTGCCCTTAACTGTGGGTTTTATTCCTAGATAGTAACGTCAGCTCTATAGTATGTTTTCTTCTTATATAATCGTTGCCGGAGGTAGGCTCTCTATATTATAAATATGTGTTCCTAATGTCAGCACTGATTTTCAGCGGAGCTTGTTACCCAGGACAGCAGTCTCACATCTTAGTGTTAATTGACTCATCGTCTGGACCTAGCCCACTCGTGACATATTTCGGATCGTGGTTTTCTATTTTTTTATGCTTCTCATTCCTTAATCCCCCCCCCATCTTTTCATAATTTGGTAGCCTATAACTTGCAAATCTAAGCCAAAAAATGAATTTATTATCCTTTTTAAAGTAATTTTGTTGTTCACGTTTACGTTTTGCGAGAGCACCCAGCGGCCCACAAGCCTAGGCTTGCAAGCCTAGGCATGTAAGCCTAGCATTGAAGTTTGACCATGCGCTTCTTTTATTCCCGAAGTATATCAATCCATGCAGTGAACCAGGAGAGGCAAATTTTGTAAAGTTGCGTGACATACATGGTCCGGCACACGGCTAAAAATTGCGCATTTTCATGATGTACCACTACAAGAACATCATTTATTATAGGCAACGAAGGGGTTCTCAGTCGTTAAGTGTTCAGGAATATCAGCAGCCTTTTCAATAAAGATTATGAGGCTTAGAATGACAATACTACAGTTTAGATTGTGTCAAAGGAAAGTTATAATATTTTATATAATATAAGTGTGTCTTAATCAATAAGAATGTATTATATAGATAAATCATAATATAAATAGTTTTCAATGAAAATGCTCAGTAAAATCCTGTTACAAACATCTCAGGGATGCTTTTTTTCAGTATTTCTGTTGATTCCACTGAATTCTGTTTTCTTATTAAACCTCTTTTGTTTTTTCATTTTCGTTTTGTAGAAAAGTGCATTGTTTTAATTCCTACCCCATAAATTAGCTATTGAATATATTTTTGTCTGATGATGCAACTCTGTGAATTTCCAGTTATTTTTATAAAATCTTAGCAAATGGCATCTCTGACATCTAACTGACTTTTTAAGAAACGGGGCAGCAGAAGATGTCCATGCCTTTCCTTTAAATATTGATTTTATCCATCTCTTTATGTTGTCTCATGTTCATTTTTGTGCCTTGGTTTGCCAACATTTTCCCTCCGTATACCAGTTAATAAAATAATTGTTTTAATTCAAGGACTCTTTTTTTCTCCTTTTCAGGTTTCTTGGCATGAGAGTTGTCAATGTGTATGACATTGACAATAAGACATATCTGATAAGAGTGGGAAAGTAAGTTACACAGACAAATTATAACTGTCTTAAAAACTGAGTTTGAGTTAATGTCACATAACTGTAGTATAACCTCACCATATAGAGATGTAGAACTTAAAGCATGTTGTTCCCCAAATAATGTCTATTTAAATTGTGTTTACCCATAGATTTCTTTTTCTTAAAACATTTGAAGACCAAAAATAGAGTTTTACATGGCTTTCTCCTACTGGTTTGATGAGCTAACAAGGAGAAACGGGGTCTGTTATTCAGCCATTAGAGAAATTCTGGGCATGAAACCATTCCAACAACACATAAAAAAGCAAAGAATCAAGTGGTTTGGACTTTTAACTTGCATGAATATCAACCAATCTGGCCTAGAAGCCTAGAAAGAAGAAAAGGACACTTTAAAAACTCACAATTTCTAGCTTCAGATGACTTTCCAGTTTGCCAGGGCCTGACATCTCTACCTCCCCGTGAAATCTCTCAGTATAGATATGGCGGACAAAGTATTAAAGCTATATAGGTGAGCTGACAAGAAATAAATATATATATTTTTGTGCTGTTCTTGCAGACCAGATGAGAAAGATGTGATCCTCATTGAGTCTGGTATAAGACTACACAGCACAGAGTTTGACTGGCCTAAAAACCCTGCTCCATCAGGTTTCTCAATGAAGGTGTGTGCAGTTTAAGACAAAATTTTGTTTTTGGTTTGATAAAGGCCCTGGTCTTTTTCTTGACCTTGTATGTGTGTTGTGATTGTTTTACACTCTCATCAACAGTATTTTTGGAGATGGCCTGCTTCACGCTGGACTGTGTGGGTTCATCACTTTATTTATATTAACAGATGCTCTGAGTGAATAAGACTCATGTCCATTGCCCGTAAGGAATATAAGTGTTACTATTACACCATAAATGAAAGTACTTTGTGAGTGATTTCCGAGTAATTTACTGAACGAGGAACAGCCACCAAACCTGCTTGAGTTTGGATATATTTACTTTCGCCTCTGCCTTTGCTCTTCAGTCAGCACAGATTAGATTATTTTGCTTGACTTACAGAATAATGGTCAGTAGCGTGCAAAATTCTTAAGCACATCACAATATTTTATGCTTTGCTGATGTGAAGTTGCTTTCATGTATTTTTTAAATTTTGTTTTAGCTACGAAAACATCTGAAAGGACGGAGATTTGAGTCCATCCGGCAGCTGGGTATTGACAGAATTGTGGACCTTCAGTTTGGCTCTGGAGAAGCTGCTTATCATGTGATAGTGGAACTTTATGACAGGGTGAGGACGTGTGCTTCTATCCTTGTGTGTTGGCTGGAAGGAAAAGTTACTAGCTTTGATTTTTCATTGTTGAACCATGGCTAATTAGCAATGTATTTTCTCCTTTTAATACTTTCCAGTTTTGCTGGTGTTTTATCTGTTCCTGGTATAATGTGGTTGTTATTGCACTGACTCATTGTGGACCAGTATATGTTACATATGTAGCATCTGAAGATCTTCTTCTCTGCCTTGCTCTTATGACCCAATGTATTTTTAAAGATATTTTTGTCACTTAGAAAGTAAGTTTTTTTGGTTTAAATCTGGATCAATTATGAAAGGAAACAAAGAAAAGTCAATATGGTGAAACCTGCTCTAATGGCCACCTGTCTAAGGTAATTACATGTACAAACGACCACTGTTCACTTCCCCCCTTGCGGTTTTTTTTTCTGTATGTAATGACATTATCTAAGATGTCCTCCTGCCCATGACAATTACTTTAATTTTTGACATTGGGTGGCCGTCTTGGACAATTTCGCCTGTATTTTAGGGCATCTTTAACTTCGTACAGTTTTTGCCCCTTTGCTCCTTACTTTCCCTTTCTGTTTGTATCCCAGGGCAACATTGTCCTTACAGACTTTGAGTTCACCATTCTGAACATTCTTCGACCTCGAACAGACAACAGCCAAGATGTGAGATTTGCTGTCAGGGAAATTTATCCAGTAGACAGCGGGAAGGAGCACCATGCACCTACTCTTGAGCGGTAGTGTTTTTAAACCATTTTTATTTGTGTGCAAAATGGTGTAGTATAGTGTAGTGATGAATAAAATTCATGATCCAGCCAAATAAACCGAATTATATTTTGAGGTAGGTTATACTTTAGGAGAAATAGTAGAGCTTTTGTTGTGAAACAAGAATTCACGTCAGCTGTCCGAGGTTCAGCAAATATTTTGAAATAGATGTGGCACCTGTTTATATTTTGTTTATTTTGATTTGAATAGTTTAAAGCATTATCGTAAGGATATATATCGTATGGATTTCTCTTATTGAGAGTGAACCTAAAAGTAGATTTGAATATGCTATCTAAGGGTGAACTTGTTGAACAATGAAAAGTTGTTAGCACTGAAGATATGGATGAGGATTCTGCAATTCTAAAATGTGGTCAATTGATAATTATTTCTTTAGTTTCATGTTTTATACTCTGGTGCCTTTTTGCCACCTTGTTTGATTAGAAAAACATGTAGTAATATATATATATTTTAAAAACTAAATACATGCACTATACGATATGAAATACTTAAGTTTCTCTCTGTAAGATTATATGCAATGTTGATAAAGTGCACTTTTTTTTATTTCTATCCTTTCAATCAGGTTGCAGGCACTGATTCAGTCAGGGAAAGACGGAGATGTGCTTAAGAAGTTATTAGTTCCGCACCTAGGTAGGTTTGAATGAAGTCTTAAAAGTCACCTTCATGCAGGCATGGTTTATGAGTGACTTTTTGATTTTTTGTCACGTTTTTCACATCCCTGATTGCGGGGCATGATGGGCATGATGAGATCAAGTCCTGTATCCTTTTAGATAAGTGTGAAGAATTTGAAGATCCTCAGTACTCCTTGCTTATGAAAGTGAGACCTTGGATAATGAAACTCAAAGAACAGGCTGCCTTCAATTGTTAAATTCTGTATTAATCCTTGCCCAGAACCAAAGAAAGTATGGTTAGTTTTATAATTAAGAGTGCTTCTGAAAATGGCCAATGGTTTTATTTATGGAGATGGTCCCTTTGTTTTAGGAAGAGAAAGGGATATATTCACTTTCTACATTTTGCTTTCATGGCTTCCATAATTTCTGTCACTGATTTTCTTTCTTTATCCATTTACTTATCTACGTGTATCTGTTTGTCTTGTCTGTCTCTGCTTCTTTTTTTTCTCTTGCTTTCAGTTCTCACTTTCAACCCCCCCCCCCTTTCTCTGACCCTGACCCTGTCTCCCTGTCTTGTTAACCTCCTCCCACCTTTCTGTCTGTCTCTCATTCACTTTCCTCTCTTGCTCTTTTAACTCTCACTCTCTCATCTTCTTGTCCCTCCTTCCTTCTCTCTCTCTCTCCATGTAGCTCTCACTCTCCTTTCATGATTACTGTCCCCTTTTCTTCCCTCCCTCTCCTTTTCCTATTCCCTTTTTTTGCCCCATCTCCCTTCTTTTCCTACCCTGAATTTGCTCCACAAATTCATACTCACCATCACACAAGTCATTCTTGTAATATACAGAAACAAAATAAATGACAGTCATGATCTTGAAAGGAAATATGGACAAGAGCAGCTGGTCCTATGACTTCACTTTAGAGGTCAGATAAACAGCTTAAAGAATACTTTTATAATCTTCAATCAGTGCTTCCTCTTCTTATTTAAATATTAAAGATGTCTTTCAAATAATAGCATTTCTGGTAGAGCCAAATTCTTTTAAAAAATGACTTACCGGCCTCCCCTGAAAAAAAAATTAAAATATTTTATAAACTAAAAAAAAGGAACAACAAAAACTAAACTAACAACAAAAAATTAATTTAATAGCAGGCTAACAACAACAACAAAAAAACCCAAACAATTTACACATAGAATAAAGTATGTGGTTTTCATCTCCTCAAACAAGAGTTAAATGCCCTTATCTTGAAATGTGTTTGTATTCTTTTCCCAGATTATGGCCCAGCCATCATAGACCATGTGTTGTTAGGTGCCGGCTTCAAAGAAAACGTCAAAATAGGTCAAGGTTTTCACCCAGATGCTGGTAAGTTTCAACCAGAGAGGCACAACAACAAGATGCCAACGATATTCTTAAAGTTTATATTGATGATGTTTTGCTCTAAACCCTTTTGATATAAATGATGAGAGAAGGTACAAAAGTTAATCGGCAGGATTTTTATGCAGTTTGTAGTGCATGTAGAATGCTGATATTAATGAGGACCCACAGATCAACCTCAACAATAGTTTTAGAACAAAAATTAAGTTGACGTAAGTATTGCAGCTACACATTTAGACCATAGCACCATCTTTATGCAACCTTTATTCTTTTAAAAATCTAATGTGTCTCTGAATGTTTCTGTTTGCTAGTGCCAAAATAGGGCTTTACCCTTTTTGCCTTGAAATCACTTCCTTGAACATTTTACTTCCTCCACAGGAAAAATTAAGCCAAAATTCAAATAGTGTTTATGTTTTGACTTCTTTGAAAAGGTTATTGTGTATGAAAGAAGCCTGGTCCAAACATTAATTTTCTTTTTCTCAAAACAAAGTTGACATAAAATTTCAACTTTCATGCTCCATTTTCATTTTTTAAAAGTTACATATTCACTCAATCGTCATTGCAGAACATACTTGGGTAGTGAAAATGTCTTTACTTTGCAAGATTTGACTATCATCCGGGAAACCACTTTTAATGCTGTTCTTTGGTTGTGTTCCATACCTTGCTGTTTACTGGCTGTAATAATAATAATAATAGATAACATTTGTTTTGCGCATATTCCGGCTCAAAAGCAAGCTCTATGCACTTTACAATCTAAATATACCACATGGCGTGACTTCGGTAGGTTTTTTTTTCTTCCCAGACATGTCCAAGCTGTTGACTGCCATTGAAGAGGCTGAGAGTTTACTTCAAGATTTCATTTCTAAACCTTGCAAAGTGAGTATTATTTGATTCCTGTATGCCCTCAGAGGGTGCATAAACAACAATTTTTTGGTTTTCAATCATAAATTCTGTTAGTACATGTAGAAATGACACCATGAGCCTACGAGTGTATTAGTACGTCACAATAGCCGCATTTCTGTTGGGTGAATAGTACTCTTAGCACTGGGTCTATTAAATAACCTTTTTATTGTCTTACAGGGCATTAATTACTTCCCTAGGGCACATAAGACAAGACAAGTTTTATGTGTCCATTTCTGTATTTGTAGGGTTTCTGAGTATGGGACTTTTGTTTACTGAATGCCTAACTAGTAGCCAGTCCTATTTTTGTGCTGGAGTTTTAAATAGCTGACTATCTTGAGCTCGACCCAGTTTGACTTTAAAATGCTTCCTTTGTTAACTATTAAACGGTACTTCAAGCTCGGCTGATTTGTATGTTTTTGAGTTGCTCGTTTTGAAAGATGATAAATATTCTATTGAAGTAGTAAATTTTTAGTTATATTGTTTAGCCTTCAGCATGGTAGCATTATTACTGAGGATCAGATAGACTGACAGGGTCACAAACGAGGAAGCGTTAAGGAAAACAAGACAGATCCCAGTCATAGATGAGGTAGGAAGAAGGTGGTGGCGATGGATTGGACATTCTCTCAGGAAGTCAGGCAGCTGCATAACAAAGAAAGTGTTGGATTGGACTCAACAGGGTAAGAGATCAAGGGGAAGACAACGTGGAACCTGGAGAAGAATCACAGAAATTGATTTACAGAAAAGTGGAAAGACATAGAATAACATCAAGAGGCTAGCCCAGGATAGAGAAAGGAGGAAAGTGTTTGTCCGTGGCCTATACCCTGGTGCAGGGCGAGAAAGGCAATGATGATGATAGAATTAGTGTCATTAGTTTGAAAATGATTTCCAATACTTGTTTTATTTATTTTTAATTTGTGAAAACTCTCGTACATGTGGCATAATTCTTTTTTGGTGTGTGATTATAATTTTTTGTGACTGTAATTCTGTTTCCAGGGACATATTATCCAGAAGAAAGACCAAAAGCCAAGCTCTGCAGGGGCAGAGTCTGGAGAAATCTTATTGTGAGTTTTTTTTGTTTTCTTTTTTATCACAAAACCATTTATTCTTTATGCAGTTATTTGCTTGCCAATATTTCAAATTTTGGGGTCTATTTTATTGTCTTGGTTACTTCCCTTTCAGAGTATTTGTTTAACTGATCTTCTTAATTCTTGTCCATAACTAAATGGTGCGAAGTGTCGTGTAAAAGAAACTCAAGATTACATATATTAGCAGAGATGGATGTAATGCATTTTTTTTCGCCACCTCATTCAAGTAAAAAGTCTTTTGGGATTTTATTTTTAGTCAGTGAACTCAGTTTATTCTCAGCTCTTTCTGATTTCTTTCATGTCAGTGTACTATTTTGTTTGAAGAAATTTGAACAACAGCTGTTTTTGGTCCTACATTTCTACGTGGAAGTCCACATTGTTATGCTGGGTCTTTTTTTGCCAAGGATTCTTATGGAAAGCCGGCAAGTTTATGATGTAGTCCATTTGCTTTGAAATATATTCAAATAACTTTCGCCCCCCGGGGCAGTGCCACTGACTGTAGTGTCTTTAGGCCATTCTCAAAGGGGGGACATTTCTCGTTCAAGCACAGTAGAATTGTAAATCGGCTGATTCATGTCAGGCTCATAACTGTGCCTGATATACAACAGGGAACTGCTGCTTTTTCTTTCCTAATCCTTACTATTGTCATTTTCCTCTACTTCTTTTGTATGTTTGTCACTCTCTTGTGACCTGCTACTTCTGGGGTGCCTTGATAGTTGAAGCAGACCTTGTGCTGTTGAAGCTAGAGAGGTGAGCAGAGTAAGTCTGATTCCCTGTAAAGACTTCTCTGTTGAAACCCACCCCTTGGCACTCATATGACCTTATGCAGTTGCGAGAGCCGTAAAACCCTCCACTATAAAAAAAAACTGAAATAACTTTCAATTGATGGCGGGTGGTAGCCTGTCTTATTTCTTCTTTTGAGCAAATAGTCAGACCTGCTATAACAGCTACCTGCCCAAGACAATCACTTATACATTCGACTACTCCCCGCTTCCCCCTTGCTTTTTTCTTTTTTACATTATAATGATACCAATACGTTCATCTGCCTAAGACAACAACTTTTATCATCAGCAATGGATGACCATCTTGGAATATTCTTTATGCCTTTCTTTTCTCCAGTGAGCAAGTACTTAATGTTTTCCAGACTTTTACCTTTCCTCTTCTAAAATGTCCTTAAAAATTTTTCAGCTCCATCAACATTATTTCTGTGGATGGTTAGCTGGTTCTGTGGTGTGGTTGCTACTTCTTTCCTATCAAAGATCTATCATCCTTATCTCTCCTCCTCCTTAAGTGTGCTTGTTACTCTCTTGTAACACCTCTAATCTTCGACATTTATATGACCTAATCATGTTGCAAGTGCCAAAAAACTCTTACTAAATACTCAAAAATTTAAAAAAAATTTCTGTCACCTTTCGTCTCCTCAAATGTCCTCTAACTTTTTTCTACACCATCAACATTAGTTCTATATCTCTTTCAAGCAAACAAGCTGATGATAGTTTGTGGTCTAGTAACTGAGCTTCTGAGTCTGAACTCAAAAGTTTACCATTTCTATTTTCTTTTCGCTCCTCTTGTTTTTTTCCTCTTCTTTAAGATTATCTTCTCCTCATCTTTAAGATTATCTTCTCTTGTAAGATTATCTTGTGTTGTAGCTGCTTCCTTTTTTACTCAATTTACTCCAAAAATTAACTGAATTCAGTCTAAAAATCTGTTTTTGTGTTATTGTTGGTGTGCATTTGAAACCAAATGCTCACCACTTTCCCTGAATAGATTTTATTTAAGAATGCAATCTAATAGAACATCATTTTAACTTGAAAGCCCTGAACTCAAGGCAGTTTTACCTGTTTACATTCTTTTCTCACCAGATATGAAGAATTCCACCCATTTTTACTCAGACAACATCGTGATAAACCCATGGTGGAGTTTGAACGCTTTGATCGGGTAAGTGTATTATTATAAAACAATTTCCAGTAGTTTATGAACGTTTTTATTTCTATCTGATACATGTGTATGCTCCCTTTGCACTAAATGAACCCAAAGTTTAGCTGTTTTTTGTCCATAGATTGACTTGACTTTGAGCCAAGAAAAGACATTTATTCATGTCCTTTAGCATTTGTCAATGACATGACAGCTTGTTATTTATGCAATATTTTATTTTTTTCTCATATTTTCGAGGAAGTTTACAATTCATATATTATTATTTGCTTTGAAAGAAAGAAAGCTTAATATTGTTGGGTGCTGTCTTTGCCATCTAGATCATTATACTTGTTATCTTTTATTTGTCGCTATTCCTTTTTGATGTGTAGATAGAAGATGATCTTCGCTTTAAAATATAAATTTATTGCATTTCAGTCTGTTGATGAGTTTTTCTCTAAACTCGAAAGCCAGCGCCTGGACTTAAAAGTGATACAACAGGTGTGTTACTATTTCTACATTCATTGCTGTTAAGTAAATGCCTCACTTGTGAAATAGGGAGGGAAATTTTGCTTTTACAGAAAAGTGTCTGATGGATATAAAGAATAAAGCCCTGCAACACATTCTCTCTCACATACTCATGCACATTGACATACAGACTCTTCTTTTTAAATTCTACTAATTCTCGAAGACCAAACAGGCTTGTATGACAAAGTCCCATTACCCTAGTTATGTTCTGAATTGACCACTCTACTGCCAGCAATCAATTACTTATTAGTGTGAAAATCAAACTGTACATGGTGAAGAACTGTAACTGTCATATCTTCATTGACAACAACCAAACAGTGCTTCCAATTTTCCGCCAAATAGTCCGCCATTTGTTATTATCCTCCAGATCTCATTTGCTGATCCGATGCCCGCCACCTCGTTGATGGTTCCCCTCTCCCATGTTTCCGACTCTCTCTCTTTCTCTGTTGTAAAAAAAAACTACTTTTAGATCTATGTTGCGTTGCCCTTCATGAAACCGTGTTGTAAATATCAAGCTTAATCTACCTTCCACTCTTGGAAATTCTGATGGCCGAATGGACAGCGTGTCTGCGTTTGAAGTCATACAATTATTATTTTATTAGAGCAGGATCGAATACCGGTCACGGAATTTTAAAATAAAAAAAAAAACGTTTTTTGTTCCTCCCGACTGACCAACAATAAATTGTTTCCCATCATTATCATTTGTTGCTTTGTAGTTTTTTATGTAGTGATGAAGCATGCACATTCTGGTGTTGTCCTCAGGAGGAGCTTTGACTTACATCGTACAGTTTTCCTTTTACCAGTTTAGGCCTGGTTAAAGTTAAATAGTGGCTTTACTTGGTGTGTGAATCTCATTCTTTTTTAAATTTTAGGCTCAGAAAGGCCAAATTTTAGCTCTTCAATTGCAAATTTTCTTTAGCTTCCGGGGGCTGTCAGCTCCCGGACCCCCAACCAAGGCTTTGCTCTAGACCCACCGGGGGCCTCCTGCAACCCCCAGCCCCCTGCCAATTTTTCCTCCTTTTTGGGATTTTGCTGTGGGAAGCTCTGAACCAAAGTAAAACATCACATCAAATTTTGCAAAATGTAGAAAGATTAAGTAATATTGTCACATCATTTTATTAGAAGTGATGCTAACTATTTTTCTAGCGTTAGAGGTATTAAACCTCCTTTTGCTCCACTGTCTGTAGCTTGTCATTGTCTTTTCTCGTTCAAAAAGATTCATTTTCATTGTGGCTGCCTTTGATTTTTGTGTTTCCTCATTATTTTTGTTTGGACTTGCAGGAAAAGACAGCTTTGAAGAAGTTGGACAATGTGAAAAAAGACCACGAGAAACGCATCCAGGGTCTCCAAAAGGAACAGGTGTGGTTTTTGTCGATGGTTTATGTTTTGTGTATATACGTCTTTCTCTTTCATTTTGAAATGGTCTTGACGTTGCTCTTCCATCGATCAGGTTGGAAACTTTGCTGCTGTCGAATTCAGACTTAATAGGATAGAGATCAGACTCTCAGCCATGGTTGGCGACCTGTCAAGGAGCGACACCTCAATAGTTTCTTGCAACTTTTTCCTTAATTTCAGTTATTTCTTTACCTTGTAGAGAGTAGTCAAATAGAGTTACACAAGTTCCCTCTGACAACGACGATATGTGTGGTTGAGAGTGCAAACCCACGTGTGCTCTTGTGGGTATTTTTTAGGGCTTTTTTGGGGGGGGGGGGGATAAGTGTTTTACGGCGTTCGCAACTGCATTAGGTCATATGAGCGCGTGGGACTCGTTAAACTTTTTCAGTTGGTAGGAAATTTTGAAGTTTGCGTAGGTGGCGGTCGAATTTATCGATTTTAGACCACCAAGGGATCTTAACACTTTGCCCCCACGGAAGAAGGCTAGGTGTAGATCTTTCCTACCATAAGATCAGGGGTGTGGCTGAAAGACAGCAATAAGAAGGAGCCAAGGAGTAGCAGCAGAAAGGCTGCAGAGAGAGTCTAGAGCTCAGAGGAGGGGGCGAAGGAGGTGAGGGGGTGGGGGCAGAAAGTGGAGACAAAAGTAGACAATAGAACATTGCTTAAGAACAGGAAAGCTTGTGAAAGGAGAAAATTTTTCCATCACTATCTGGATTCGAACCCGCGACCTATTGAATGAGAGAAGAACACCTTAACCTGTAGGCCAAGAGAGCCCCCTATTTTTGTGTCTACTAAAGCTTTAAAGTAGGCTGCGGTGCTACTGAATGAAGTGTCTTTAGGTCAATCCCAGTAAAATGCTCAGTAAAATTTTTAATGGGCTGATTCATCAATGCCATTCTCATAACTGCCTGAACTGCAACAGGGAACTGCTGCTTTTTCTTTCCTAATCCTTACTATCGTCATCTTTCCTCTACTTCTTTTGTATGTTTGTCACACTCTTGTGACCTGCTATTTCTGGGGTGCCTTGATAGTCAAAGTAGACTTTGTGCTGTTGAGGCTAGAGAGGTGAGCAGAGTGGGCCTGATTCCCTGTATGGACTTCTCTGTTGACATCCACCCCTTGGCGCTCATATGACCTTAGGCAGTTGCGAGCGCCGTAAAAACTCTACTTAAACAAAACTAATATTACTTTGGATTGTTATAGGCTCATTTGGTGGAATGATAAGTTTTTAAGTATATGGGACCTACTTTTTAAGCAGGGTACGCGCTTAATAGATAAATGTTTATATTATCATTACTGTTATTATAGAATACTGTCAATTGGTTACTTACAATAAATTCTCCTTGTTTTATTATTGAGAAAGAAAGTATTCATCAAAGTGGTCATAGTTTATATTGTTATTCATTCATTTTGCTGAACTGTCCCATCCAGGAATCTGATGTGTTACGTGGTCAGCTCATTGAGATGAATCTGGATCTGGTGAGTGCTCCTATGTACATTTGTGCCTGAAATTTCACTTGTAAGCAAAGAAATTAAAAGTTTAAGTGTATGATTCTCTTTAGTTATGTTGTGAAGGTTTTCACATGTGAAAACTTTGTTATTAAGCTGAAAGGGCTTGCCAATTCTCAGATAATTTGCATAATTCAATGAAATGTGAACTATTTTTCAAATTGAATTTGTTTAGTTGCTGTCAATACCTGCCATCTCCATTGTCTCAAATATCCTTCTGCTCATTGCTTTTGTTTTAAAAAAGGATTGATGGGGTTACTATTATTTTTTTTAAATAATTTTTTCTTCAAAATTACAACCCAGAGAAGTAAAAATTCTCAGATTTTGATAACTTACCCCTAGTAAATTCCTGTTATTATTAACTTAGTGCACACTTTGTTCAGTTGTGTCGAATTGGACTTCAACTCTTTTTCAATACCTAATGGGACTGTGACTTTGATTATGCGGGGTGTTTTCATCACTGTCAACATACTGGGGGTGTTCCTTGAGAGGGACTTTGAATGGGAGTTCCCCCTCTCACTTAGCGTCACCGAGTTGGAAGAGACTTTTAATCTGTACATACTGACACCTACCTGAACACACTCTACTGTATTTAATTGCTCACTCTGTTTCAGGTGGATCAAGCTATCTTGATTGTGCGCAGTGCTGTGGCCAATCAGATTGACTGGACGGAGATCTGGAACCTGGTCAAGGAGGCGCAGCTGCGAGACGACCCCGTGGCCAGTACCATCAAGGCTCTCAAGCTGGATACCAATCAGATAACACTGCTGCTACAGTAGGTGCCACATTGAACATTGGTTAATAAAGCTTTGTACTACTTTGGATTGTTATAGACTCATTCCGTGTAATGATAATATTATGAGGAATTTGCGCTCTATAAATGCTATCTGTTTTTATTATCTTTATTATTATTATTATTATTAGTATTAAATATTATTATTATTATTATTATTTGTGTCCTGTTACTTACGTATATTATTTTTGGTAAGGTAAATGAAATGCAGCACTTTAAAGTAGCCTTCCTGAATTTGCACTGTATGCTTCTCAGGAAGTTGAGATTGTTTCTATCAGGTCTGCTGGGGTAATAATATAGATTGTAAAACGCATAGAGCTTGCTGTTAAGGAGGGATTTGCGCTCTATAAATGCTATCTATTATTATTATTTTTGTTGTTGTTGTTGTTGTTTTTATTATTTTTATTATTATTATTATTTGTTCAAGGTTTCTTGCCTAAGAATTATAGTTTAGAGCAGAAAATCTTTGACCTTATAGATTATCACAGGAGAAAAAAACAGCTCATGTTGACATTCAAAGCTGCCGATAAGCTTTATGAAAGGAATGTTTGTCTATGAGCCTATTTTTTATGTTTTTCAGCCGCAATGTAGGATAGTTTTGGGAGCTGTTTTCGGGGGAAAAAAATCTCAAATCGTCCTGAGCTGTTGATCAAGATTGACAATTTTGTTTTGAATGCACTCAAAGTGGAGTACTATGCTTTACAAATATCGGTTGTAGTTAAAAGCATTAGCACTTTCATGTAAACCATGGCAGATAAACATTTTTGGGTGTCATCAGTTCGTGATGTCATATTCCAGTGACCCATATGTGGCTCCAACCGATGGGGATGACTCGGATACTGTGCCCTTGAAACCCATGAGAGTGGACATTGATCTGGCTCTGAGTGCCTACGGCAATTCCAGAAAGTAAGTGCTTTTGATACAGCAAATGTGCTCGCCTGCCTTGTTCTGATTGTATGCGTGTGTGTTTGG